CTGATACCTCTATTTCCACGAAAGTAAAAGTCTATTTAAACTGCAGTGTCTCTGTATGCTGGTTTGTGTGTTCTCCAACACACAAACGCTTCTCTGAACGTACTCGCTGTCCCAATGGGGAGGTTAACTAACAGGAAGGAGATTTAAATATCTGTCAGACCGGACGATACAGGTTGTCTTCAGCTTAGTGTTACTGTAGAGTTTGCGTTGCAAGAATTAAGTTCCTTTGTAGAAGTTCTTTGCAGGAAAAATTAACAAATTAGTTTTTTTTTAATGGGACAGAAGGAAAACAATTGTTTCATGTCTGCTTTGCCGAATCGTCCGTTGAACAATATTTAGTGTACGTTGCATTGAAATGTTAGCGAAATCATATCAAATTTAATTTCCATGCTAGGTCCGTGATGGCGAACCTATGGTGTGGGTACCACAGATGGCACGTAGCACCCTCTCTGTGGGCAAATGAGATTTCACCCCAATTCAGCTTTGTCGTGCATGCGCGCGCGCGTGCCTCCTGCCAGCCAGCTGGTCTTCGGGGCTCTGCCAGGCATATGCAGGAGGCAGGGCTGTGCTCCCCCCCCCCCATCTGCCACGCACATCCTGGGGGAGAAGGGGCATGCAGAGGGCTTGTGTACACATGTGAAGCGGGGGGGAGGGCACAAATGGCTATCCAACATCTTCTTAAAGACTTCCAGTGTTGGGGCATTCACAACTTCTGGAGGCAAGTTGTTCCACTGATTAATTAATTGTTCTGACTGTCGGGAAATTTATCCTCAGTTCTAGGTTTCTTCTCTCCTTGATTAGTTTCTGCCCATTGCTTCTTGTTCTACCCTCAGGTACCTTGGACAATAGTTTGACTCTCTCTTCTTTGTGGCAGCCCCTGAGATATTGGAACACTGCTATCATGTCTCCCCTGGTCCTTCTTTCTATTAAACTAGACATATCCGGTTCCTGCAACCGTTCTTCATATGTTTTAGCCTCCAGTCCCCTAATCCTCTTTGTTGCTCTTCTCTGCACTCTTTCNCTTGGGTTTGTGAGCCGCCCTGAGTCCCGTTGGGAATAGGGTGGCATATAAATAAAACGAAACCCAAACCTAAACCTCCTGTTTTCCTGTGCTTGATAGTCACTTGTAGTAAGTTGAGGAATACCTGTAACAATAAGCCATAGCTGTTCAGAGAAATGGGGGAGTGGGAAGACATAATATCCCACTGAGAGCCATTGCAGAACCCTCAAATATGAGCGCATTAGAATTTGACTGTGCTTGCATATAGGAACAAAGACTTCTGTTTAACCAATATATCACAATATATTGTTTTTGCTGATCATTGAAACTGGTTGTTTCTCCAAGTCTGCATTATGTATAACAACTGTGTTTCTCTTATCATTCCAAAGGCAGCTGGCGACAAACTTCTATTTGTGTGTCAAATCTGTGGCCAGTATCCAAAACATCTCTTTTTTCTAGTTTATTTATTGGCAATACATCTGAATTATTTGGAGAATGCAAGTGGGTGTTGCATGGTATTTAAATCCAGAAATAAATAAAAAAAATCTGGCAAAAAGGAATACAGTTGTTCTGATACAATGAAATATGTATGTGGAATTGTGTTGGATTTACATTTTTAATTAGCAGTATAAATTATTTTGTCTTCCCCCCCCATGAATATAGATGCAGATTTTACTTCCCATCCATGTTAATATCTCAGCGTTTCAAGGCACTCATTGTCTCAAAACTTAGGTTTTTAAACTGATGGTTTAGCTGTAGGAATATAAAATCTCTGTTTTAGTCCCACTGAAATCAGTGGTCGTAGGTCATTCATATAATTGGCTGTGTTGATTTCAAAGGATTTAAAGAAGGCAGTGAAATCCTATAAAGATAATCCTTGACCTATACGAATTTATTTATTGACTCTTCAAAATGACAATGCATTAATTAATTATGACCATTTTTCACACATACAACTGTTGCAGCATCCTTATCAGTGGTGGGTCGCTGCCGGCATGACCGTACTGGTAGTAGCTTGGAGCAGCTAAGAGCGTACCGGTACAGTGGCTCGTTTGGCCCACTAGCCCGCCTGAACTCTACAGCTGTATTTTATGCCAAAAACCACACTGTGCATGCACGCACAGCGTGCGGAGCCTGTGCGTGCCCTGACTAGCAGCTGGGTGCTGCAGGGGCGGTGGATTGTGCATGTGTGCACAGCGCACATCAGGCTCGTGCACAGACAGACCGCGATCAGCGTATCGGTAGAGGCATTCAGAGTTGTCAACCTTATCTTACATAGTTTTCTCTTTGGTAATGCTATGCTTCTAACTAGGGCGTACAAAACCTTTGCCAGACTTGTCCTTGAATACTGCTCACCTGCCTGGAACCCACACTGCACTTCGGACATTAAAACATTAGAGAGGGTCCAGAGGTATTTCACAAGGAGAGTACTCAACTCCTCTGCTTGTAATAAGATTCCATGTACCACTAGGCTTGAAATTTTAGGCCAGGATAACCTTGAACTACAACGTCAACATTCCGACCTGAGCTTAGTGGGTTCACTGACAAATGCACGCTCGACAAAAGCACGCTGACAAAACCGCGAGTTCTAAATCACGTCGACGAATGAGCGCAGAAGCGTGCCAGCAACACTGTGCCGACAAAAGCGCGCCTTCAACGAACAAGTGATAACCGCGAGTTCTAAACCTAACCCTAAACCTAACCCTAAACCTAACCCTATATCTAACCCTGAACCCTTACCTTAACTGAAATCGCGCTTTTGTGGGCGCGGTTTTGTCAGCGCGTTGTTGTGGGCGCGTTTATGACATCACAGTTTTCTCGCCGCGGTTTTGTCGGCGCACTTTTGTCGTACGCGCATTTGTTGGGTCACGAGCTTAGTGTACAAGATAATCTGCCATAACATCCTACCTGTTAATGAAGTAAACTACTTTTACTTCAACTGCAATAACACAAAGGCTATCCATAGACAC